ATGAAAATGCCCCAATTTTCAAAAGTCCAAATAATTGAAGTATTTGAGGATAATGTGACTCAATTATAATTATGAAAATCAGATTAGTGAACATTTTAGCCTGTGAGCCACTTGTTGTTGAGATATTTTGGGCTAAAAGCAAAAAGAACAATAGGGTTGAGTAAATGACGTCATTTACTTACAATTTAGATGCTAAATAAAATTAATAATTTTGYCCCGTCACTTTTGACTGTGAAGGAAACATGTTGCTTGGCTTCTATCTGGGCCATATAGATAAGTTTAAACAAGATTAAAGTCATTTCCAATTTTCATTGATTTTCATCCAAGTGCCCTTTTAAACACTATTTTTATAGAATTAAGAAAACCAGAAATTAATAACAGAGCTATAGATTCAGTTGTGCGCAGAGTAAAATTCATATTAATTCTTATGGCTATTCGCCATTCTGCCCCCAAGCTGCATAGTCATAGTTYTTTGAGGCCTACAGCTATTCCTTGGAATAAAAACAGCCTTCTTAACTTGTGAATGTTTTTATTTGAAGGAAGAAGAAAAACGCARTATTTTCCATTTCCATTATCTTCACTGGCCAGACTTTGGAGTGCCTTCATCGCCAGCTTCATTTTTGTCCTTTTTATTTGAAGTCCGAAATGCAGGGGTTCTGTCTTCTGATGTTGGGCCTTCTATTATTCACTGTAGGTAGGTAACATTAAATTTTGAGATGAGGCTTAGCTACAATAATTATAAAGTATTTGAGATATTGATTGGGTTGGCTACTGCATTTATATCAGAGGACATGCACACGCCCGCGTAAAGTCGTTCAAATATTTTATGAAAGCAATATAAAACGGCTGCCTATGTATCTGTACTRTGATATGAACACTCTAAGAGCTGTAGAGCATTTGAGAAGCAAGAGAAACACTTGGCTGATGCCTCGTGTTCCTAAGCTTGCTTCTCTTTTGCTTTAAAGCTCCTAGTTTGTTTATATCACAGTACAGAGACATGYGCACGCATTTTATATTCCTTAATCAGTGAATAAAATAAAAAAATCTAAAAATCTAAAAAATTTACCAGTTTTGTCTGTAATCACAGAGTGGGACGATCACGAACGGAACCCACAGATCCATGCTAGGTGAAAGCCCAAGATCGAATTGGAATTTATAATGGGACCCTTGTGTATACTTYCTAACCTCATGGGAATATTTGCATAATTTGAACTTGACAGTTAATGCAGATACTACAAAMCCCATCTCTTATTCAATGYTGTCTTGTCTAACAAATGGTAGCCYCYGATGGTTTGTTGATCCTTCAACATTGCTAGGGGAGGGCAGTTGGGCTTCCTGTGTTGTCACAGTCTTGAGGTATTTATTCACCAAGTGTATATTAGCTAGTTAGCTAACGGTTATAATGAATAAAGGTAATGATGTGACAACCCTTTGGATCCCCAACCAAATACCTGTTCCTTAATCTCTGTGTTTGATCTGTCCTTTTGATGTAGTGTGTAATTGCATAGTGCACCTTTTTTTTCAGTGCTGGAATTGGCAGGTCAGGGACGTTTATCATGGTAGACTCAATACTAAAGGAGGTAAATACACAAAAATACTATTTAACAATGAGACCTGAGCCMGAATGGTCTAATTGTTTGAGTATAAACCTACTAATCACTCAAATGAATAATAAAAAAATTGAAATATTTCTAGGTGCCCATGGCTTTTCTGTTCGCACTCTAAAGTCAGAGGTTAATTACACACAAATTCTCTCACTGATTCTAAAAAATGATATAATTCCAACTTTTCTATTCAAACTTCCTTGATCAAAAATGTTRTCAGTATATCACTCTTACAGAGTATATCACTCTTGGAAGCTGGAAAAGTATAGTACTAGTTTTGAAATAATTGGAGAAGGTCATGAACTGGCCGAAGAGTCTAAGACAAATGAACATTTGACAAAGTACTAGCTGTAAATGCTAGTTTACTGCTGTTTTTGGTATTCTGCGAACTTGGTAGTTGAGAGCTGCACAAAAAAAAATTGGTTATTTTGCTGCAGTCAATCAAAAATAATCAGCCAGTACCTTTTATGTCTTGATTGATGGCTGCCTAGTGAAAACCAATTTCACAACAACCCCATGGAATGTCTTCAGCAGTTTGTAGAATATCGAAAAAAGCAGTAAGCTGGATAACTTTGCCCATTTTTAGGGAAACACGGGTGGTGTAGCGGTGTGAGCGCTCGCCTCTCATCAATGCGACCCAAGTTGGAATCCCGCCGGGTTCAATGTTGTATATGAGTAGAGTTGTTTGTTGGTTCTCTAGCTCCTGTGCTTCGAGGGTTTTYCGGGTTCTCCGGTTTTCCTCCCTCCRCAAAAATCAACTCCTAAATTCCTATTYGATCACGGAATGAGGGCCACAGGTTTGTTACTGGCCACTGGCTATTAAGTGCTACCCTTGTGAAAAGGACGATTTTTTTCTTCTAGAGAATTCTTCTATCTCCAACCTTAAACATGTCTGTACATTAGGTCTCTAACTATACTTTATTTGTCAAAATTGTATGCAGTCAAAGGATTTACTGAAATTATTACGATAATTCCAGGTTGAACAGACCCGAGATCTCAATGCTATTGATGTAAAGACGGCTGTGTTAAAGATTCGTCGTTATAGAGTAGGACTAATCCAAACCCCTGATCAGCTACGCTTTACATATGCCGCGATCCTTGAAGGCACACGCCTGCTTATGCCACAATTATATGAAGAGGCACTTGAAAAGTTTTCAAATGAAAGAGGTATGTTCAATCATTGTTCACTGCACAATCATGAAAAAGGATTACAGAGGATAATTTCTTTTTAACTTCGGTTTCCGAAGTTTGTTCATTGAATCAGAAGTTCCAAAATGCAGACAGACTTTGTATATTCGTTATGAAGTTTGAACCAATTTACTGAGGTTGATAATAAAGTTTGTAACGTTCATTGCAAGGTTTGGGACTTAACTCTGTAGCTGCATGCTGGGATTTGTATTTTTTTACTTCTGCCAGTCTAAAATATAACAAGTAGCAACTGATTGGTTTTGATTGATAGAAGGGAAAAACAAATTTTTAGCTTGCAGCTTGCAGCTYGCAGCTACATACTGGTTAAGTTCCCAACCTCAGAAAGAACATTACGAACTTCGTTTTGAACTTCGGTAATTTGGTTCGAACTTCGTAACAAATATACGAAGTTTGTTGGCGAACRGTGGAACTTCCTAAAAAACTTCAGCAACCTGATTCATGTCAAAAGTTACGTGAAATCCACTGTAATTAGTGTGCTTCATTAAAGTTTTGAATACACACAGGAAGCTGCTAACAGGGTTCCTGCTACTCCTCAAACTCCTTGAAACTCCTTGAAACTCCTTGAATTTAATTCACATTTTCAAAGGCACTTGAAAAGCTCTTGAATTTTATGATTTTAGCAAAACTCCTTGAAAACTTCTTGAATGATTGCTTTGGTCSTTACTTGCATGGTTCTGAAATAGATCTAGTCAGAAAGATTGGAAAATCTGAAAGTCGGCCATGTGCAACCACTGTGTAAAACCTTGGCATATTTAGCTAAACATACTCCTTGAAAATTCATTTTTGGGTCCTTGTATACTCCTTGAATAGTCCTTGAATTTKAAGTGGTTACCTCAGCACRAACCCTGTGCTAAGCACGAAAGAAGCGTAAGAGTATGCCTACTAGAAACTCCACTTTCTTGAGTGCTCCAACAAAGTGYGCCCAAAATGCAATGGAATCACCATAATCAATGACCAAAATKCTTCTTTTAATAACATTGATTTGTAGCAAAAAACTGTCAAAAAAAAAGTCTTTGTTACAGCAGGTTTCATGTTTCTGCAACCTAACTGACTCCAGAGGTCTGGCATTTTGGCTCCTATCAATCAAATTTACGATGGGCTGAATGCATTCCTTGTCATTCTGGTTACCAGCAATAACTATTAACTTGAGTAAATTGCTCGTTGGAGAAATTTGATTGACAAAGACCAAAATGCCAGTCGCCTGGAGTCGATTTGGTCGGGGGGRAAAACATGAAACAGGCTGTAATAAAAAAGTTAACTATTGAGTTTTGAATGCACCTGCACACACTAATTTACCAAACAGAGAGCAATACTTTATCACCTATAAAASTCCTAACTAGATATTAGGATTAATTTTTGAAATTTAAACAATTTCATTGTCTTGTCATTAAAGCACATGAGGAGGAAGAGGAGGAGGTTTCAGAAGAGGATGAAGTCCCACCCACCGTACCAGTACGTAAGAGACAGGAATTAGATCAAACTGTTGATAAGGAGGCAAACATTGCAGCCAAAAGAAAAAGAAGTTTACCTGATATCCCAACAGAGAGCACATCAGCTGCTGCAGAAACACCTAAAGAAACCTCTGCAGCTGCAACCGCTGACATCAGCAAAGGTAAACATGGCCGAGCAAAAAGAAGAAAAGATAAAATCAAGATTCCCAAGACCTGTAAATCAAAACAAAGTAATATTTAGGTATTACAGTAAGATTTTTTTTCATTTGACAAAATATAACTTATAAGAATTTGAAATTTTTCAACTTTCAAGAAATGTAAACCAATTTTTTTTAGATTCATGGAAATGYTGCTCAAATTGGTTACCTTTAGTGTATTCCCTTTAAGTGTATGCTGTRCTCTAACACAAGTGTTGAACCTATTTTAATATGTTTTCATTATTTTAGGTGTTCCTTCTTATCAAGGTTTTCAAGCAGATAATATTTCATCTGATGAAAGTGATGGCGAAGATGAAATCATTGATCTCTCTGAGTCATCGACATCATCATCATCACTGGCAGGTGAAGAATCAGAGGAAGACAGAGAGAGGCTATATAGTAAGGAGGACCTCACTCATGAACAAGATGATCAGAGGTATTCCAAAGCAAGTGGAGAAMAAGACCAAGAGGATGAGGAGGGCAGCATTGAAACAGAAGTTAGTCATAAAACTGAAGAAGAGGAMATTAAAATGGAAGAAAATGAAGAACTGCAGGCCGAGGTTGAAGTTCAGGAAGACTTCACAAAAATAAAACCAGAAGTATCTCAAGAAGGGAAAACATTTCCCATAGAAAAAGAATATAAAATAACTCCTGAGACAACTATTCCAAGAAAAGAGATGGACAGTTGGATGGTTGAAAGAGAAGAAATGCAAGGCAAGATTGAAGATAAAAAAGAGTTTGCAACAAAAACGGAAGAAACAGCAAATACAGGTAATGCAAAAGATACAGAAGTTAGAAAGGAAAGRGAAAAGAAGATAGATGCAGGAGTATACAGAACTGCTAGGAAAGAGATTGAAAGTASAATGCATGAACCAGAAGACTTCTATGACAGACTAGAAGATAGAGA